AAGGGTTATTTTTCAACCAAAGACCTTCGAGTTCGACTACGCTCAGCTCCAAGGCACATCATTTGCAACATAGCTCAAGGCAAAAAGCCTATCTGCCAACCAAAGACCTTCGAGTTCGATTACATTCAACTCTGAGGCAACTCAAATTTACAGCATAGCTCAAGGCGATAAAGGCTATATGTCAACTAACGAGTTTGATTTCATTCAGCCCGATGACAGCGATGAACTACTTTCTGGAAGAATTTTCAAGCTGAAATCTTTAAACCGAGAAGAAGACAAAGGCCCAATTCCAGGAAGCCCAATCACATTTGAGAGGACCGGACAAAAACTGTTTGTCTTTTTTTTTGTCTTTGCCTTATTCTTGTTAACACAAAAATGTGCAAAGAGGGGCTGTAGACACTCGTTTTTGTCTGGGTCTAAAAAACATTTTATTATATTATTTTTTTTTTATTTTTTTGTAGGCCCCATGCTCAACCCATTAACCACCTAATCCACTAAAACCCCCACTTAATCCCCCACTAAAACTCACCTGACACACACGAAAACCACGCATACCAACACCATACTCCACAATTCTCGGCTAGCCAATGAACACACCGCCAAATCACAACTCTGGAACCACCTATAAATATTATATCCTTCATTGAAGTGTGGGGGGGGGGAAATCCCGAATGGCTTCGGAAGATGCTAAAAAAACTTGTTGATAAAGAAAGAGCACATGCTCGAGCTGTAGTTGAGAGTGAAAGAGCAGCAGTTCAGAGGGTGGAAGAGGCCCTTCAGGAGCGAGAACAAATGTATCGAGATTCAGGCAAACAAGTTATGGATATAGAGGATGTGCTTCGTGCATTTAGGATTCAACTTGCAGAGAAGCCAAAGCATTCATTACTTCTTCAAAAAAATCAAGGCCACCCACTCCTTTTAATTCCCCATTTACAAATGGAAAGGTCTCCCTGTTGTGATGAAGCTCACACTAACAAAGGTGCATGGACCAAGGAAGAAGACAATCGTCTCATCGCTTACATCCGATCCCACGGTGAAGGTTGTTGGCGTTCCAATCCCAAAAGCCGTCGGCCTCCTTCGCTGCGGCAAAAGTTGCAGGCTCCGCTGGATCAACTATTTAAGACCCGACTTCAAACGCGGTAATTTTACCGAAGGAGATGAGCTAGTTATCAAGCTCCATAGCCTTCTCGGAAACAAGTGGTCTTTAATAGCTGGGAGATTACCCGAAAGAATAGAGGAAGAGGAAGAGCACAGCTGCGTGTAAAGAAAGAAGAAAAATGGCCATTAAAACACGCGCAAATGAAATGCAGAGATGGGGTTTTATGGATTTTTCTGGGTAAATTACTCCCAAAGCCACTTATGTTTATAGATTTTAAGTTTTAGTCTATAAACTTTACCCTGAATTCAATCTAACCCCTAATTTATTTTTATGATTTGATCTAATTTTTTATTCTATTTTCACTAATATTTTTGTCTTTTCGCAGGTTTTTTTTTATTTTGTTTATTTTATTATTTTTAAAATATTATTTTTTTTGACTTTTTAGGGGAATTTTTTTTAAATGATCAAAGGTAATTAATTTAAATCGAACGTTTTAAATTTCAATTTTAATTTTCGCATTTAAAGACAACCGAAAAATTAATTGGTACCGAAAGGGCGGTTCAAGGGTGCTAACCCTTCCTTGACTGCAACCGACTCCCGAACCCGACATGTTTCTGGTACAATGCATATCAGGTAAGATGGTGCCCAACCCACCTAAATGTTTTTAAAATAGTCGGTGGCGACTCCCAATCCATTTTCCTAAGTCGAAACCCAATTCCGGGCCCAACTGAAAGACGGTCGCGAGATGGAGAAAAATCATAATTTATAGTGGATATAAAGATTCTCGGATGATGATACAATTTTTATAATCCTCTCATTCAAATTTTGACATTGAATTTCTTTCTTTAAGAGTTTTCACATTAAATTCATATTTTTTTATATTTTTTATTTTATGATATCTTATTGTTATTTTTTGGATTTTATAATAAAAAATATACTTAAAGATGAATGGATGAGCTAGTTACTTGACTAACTTTTAACTTGTTGGTTTGTAAAGAGAAAAAAGGGTTTTGAGTTCGGTTAAAAGTGAAGTTGGAATGGTAAAAAAGAGGGTAGTTTTTGCTATGGAATTGTGTCATAACTAATTGGGTTTTTAGTCGAACTTTTTTAAAATTATTTTTCACCTTACACATATTTGAATTTATAGTCAATAAAACAGAGGGATAAAAGAAGGAAAGCTAAAAGGATAAAGATAAAGGCTATGGAACAAGAAAATGATTCCTGCACCGCCTAGATGGACACCTGGTCAAATAGGCTTGGAATTTGGATACTTTGTATTACTCTTTACGCGAAAGATTTTTCATTTACTTGAAATTTAGGGTTTAATATTTTTTACACCTAACCCTTTAGTTTTGGACAAATCTAAAATACAAATTGTTAATAGAAAAGTAAAGAATGATATAGATCGGTTATACTCAACAATTTTATTAAGAACGTAATTTTTTAAGTTAGATAAAATAATATTTTAGGTTAAACATAACATTTTAGGTTGATAATGTCTTAAATTAAATTTCTTGCAGGACTACGCTTTAGCTTCTTGCAGGTTGAAGAGTTGAATATTTGGTATCCAAAGCATGAGCCTTGCAGGTCACGGAATATTGGGAATCGTCATTGGTTTTGGATTTATCAGGCAAATTCCCAACATAAGGTTGGGATCTAAATGGGCAAAGCAAGTCGAGAGTCAAAATACCCCACAACAAAACATTAATAGATCCTACCCTTTAATTTATCTATAATCAAACATTACACGTATTAATGCTTATAATTTTATTTATCATAGGATTGAGTTACAATCCACAAGGCTTGTTAGTGATTGAAATCAGCATTTATTAACGTGTAAAAACTTATTTTGTGCCACTAAATCCTATGATTTTACGCTTATTATAGCTTAAAACTTTGGATGAATCAGAAGCCACCAAAAGGGCTTTAAATGCAGGTGTCTGTTTGCTCCCCCTGCATGAACTGAATTTAGCAACTATGGGGAATAGTAGCTATGATTTGCATGAAACATAGGTTTTTTTTTCTCTTTCATATTCCATTTTTTCCAAATGAAAACTAAGTGATTGGATCCCTGAATTTAAGTAGAAAAGATTTTGGTCAATGCTTGGTGAGATATATATGTATGATTTTAGCTTATTTTTTTTTCTTGCTTTGTAGAAGTCTCTGCAACTTGCTGCAATGTTCATAAAAGGAGCAAACAAGCAGTGTACAAATCTTTGGCCAGAATGAACAAGAGCATGGTCTAGTGCTTTCAGGGACGAATGTACATAGTGGCTGGGTTGCCCAACCTAATTTTTAAATTTAAATATTTAATATTTTTTTTATTCTTTTGATATAAAATAATTTTGCCCCCAACTTTTAAAAGAATATTTTGTAATTAGGGTTGAACGACTTTGGACATGCAACACATAAATTTTCAAAATATCTAGATATTTCCGTTTTAACTTTAATACTTAAATTACTCTTATAAACTTTGAAATCTTTTATAGAGAGAGAGTAGGACAATTTCTAAATCAAGGAAATTCTAGATAATGAACTTAAAATAAGATTACGATAAGAGACGATTACATATTATGTGGCTATTCCTTACCCTAATCCTACCTAAGAACTACCCTAGATAGCATTAGCATGCATGAAACAAAAGTGAAAATTGGCAGAAACCTGCTCTGAACACCAAGATCATTAATGTCAACATTACAGGATCAGGTTACAGGGTTCGAACAACCAAAATTCTGAATATCATCCCCTAGAGTTGATGGATGATGAACAACTATCTATTCATTGAGCTAACCAGCTGAATTCTGATGTGAGTACGGGTGGTATGGACCAGGAGCAAAACCCATAGGATATGGAGGTCGGGGTGCACGAGGATCAGTCATGAAAGGTTGTCTAGGATCATAAAAAGTATTTCTATTCCCCATCAGTGGCTCAGGCCCCGCTGGACGCATCCTAGCGTAGTTCAATTCATCTAGACGACGAGCATATCTCTGCGTTGTAGACATATCCGACGAGACAGAGACTAACAAACAGAAACCTTGAAATTAAGTTTAGGGTTTCAAAAATTACCTAAATTTATTCCCTGGTCTATCAGAAACTCGGAAGGCAAAGGAGGGCTTCGATCAGAGCAAAAGGGATAATAAAATTACGAGGGAGAGATGTTTCTTAACAGTTTTAGTAGGGAGCCCATGCGAATTTGGATCATAATAACTATTCAAGTCACTGCAATATATTAATTTATTATTTTATATTAAAATTTAAGATTTTTTATTTTGAAATTTATATTGCTTTTTATTAGATTAGTTTTGCATTTATTATTTTATGATATGTTAACATACGCATATTTACTAGTATATAATATGGAGTTGAATAACAATTTTATTATTAATAATTTGATTATTTTGTAGATGATCTTTTAACTCAAAAGCATCATCCAATGGAAGTCGAGACATGGGTGTTTCATCAATATTCATTTCCTGATTTATATTTGTGTAATTTAAATATAATTATTTCTGCTACAACATTAAACGAATTATATAATAAAATATCAAATGAAAATTATCAACACCTATCATTATAAAATAATTAATTTTAAAATGTGTCTTAATTCTATATCATTATTAGATTAATTAATTTAATTGAATGGAATAAACTCGATAATAAAAAAATATTATTCTCTAGGTGCATCTGCCCCAAATCGCAATGCCAGAAAGTAAAAATAGTCCAATATACAAATTAACAGACTTAAAAATTATGCAAAATTTTATATTAAGAAAAGCAAAATCGTGTCATTATTTGCAATTCCAATATTAATTGTGTACCATTTATTAGATTTACCCAATTATTGTTAAAGAATATTATCTAAAATACAATTGGCTGAGATAACAAAAGAAATGAAAAAGGAGGAACTTTCTGATTGTATGAATCAACTCGTGGCCTCTTCTACCTACTGCAACCATATTCTCTTTTGTATGGGGTTTTACACAGTTGCAATTTCAGCATCTTCGTCCTCACATTGAGATGACGAAACTGTAACGTCCGAGGCAGCATCGTCCACCGTCAAGCTTGACATCTCACCACACAGCGATGACCTTTCATCTTCACCGCACTAATGGATGGTGCTGGAGATGCATCTGGTGTGTGAGTAATACTACCGTTGCCATTTGAAGGGGATAGAGCTGCCTCGGCCTCTTCTGCGGTATGTTGAAGGCACCAGTACATTATGCTGGCTGTTAATGTGAGGATCATTTTCTGGTTTACCTGCGGATACCGTAACAGCATCGAGTTGTCAACTCCATATGATCATCCATTTGCAATAGTTAAAACTGACGACATATTCGGTTTCCTAATTCCTATTTGGCGTAGAGATGTAAACTTGAGATCAAAATGCAGCCTGTCTGCCTATGTTAATGTGCTCACAATATGATTCATGAAAACTCAGTTTCTTAGAATTTTTCGATATTTTGATACAATGCAGTAGAAAGTGACCTAGTAGAGTTGGACCCTTACCTCCATAATGTCCTCCGGCAACAAGAAAATCGAGCACCCAAGCTTCCGTGCCACACTTATGATATATGTTGCGTTCAACCTCTTCTCCTCCTCTACAATCCAACAGGGATAAAACACAGCTAATTTCAGCTCAATGTAGACACTTTTTCTCAGTCAAAGGTATGCGAACTCGGTCGGTTTGTTCAAAATATTAAAAAATGTCACGAAAATAACTTCAGTTAGAAAATAATTGTACCACTTTCACCCTTAGATACAAGGTTCCAGTTGACCACTCTTGGCTCCACAGCACTTAAAAGTTCGAGGAAGAACAGTCCATTGGAAAGGCTTTTGTCCTGCAAATTTAGCATAATCATCAGCCCTAACTCTTAAACTATGATGGCTTTTCCGAAACCATTCTAAACTTGAATGCTGTTAATTGTAAAACCTTGAAGCTGTCTATTTGGGTAGTTCTTCCTGAAATGTTGACTTTCAGGTTTGCCCAATTCAAGATATCTGCATCAGTTATCTCCTTTCCTCGGGAGCGGGATCTCAAACTCTTGAGAAGTTGAAGCATGTTAAACCTCATTAATTGCCACTGGAAAGCTGTTACAAATGTACTACATGAGCATTTGGAAAAACATCAAACGTTGAGCAACCAAGCATATTTTTAAAGAAAAAACAAAGAGAAAGGAGCGAATAATTCCCCACAGCATTAAGCAACGAACCGGCAACTTTATATGAAAACCCAAGGCCAGAAATAAAAAAGAAACAAAGATACACCGAAAGATCAAAAGCATTTTGTCAGTCTTTCCATGCAGGTTGAGGTAGTCAATTACCAGGATGTAGATTCTCTTTTATAGTAATTATAATAATAATAATAATAAATGTAAAGAGAGTTTTCCTTCTTAATTGAGGTAAAACATGTCAAGCTGCAAAGGGACTCATTAAAATCAAGGAAAAAACATAGAGATTACCAACTATGAGCTTTTTATTTCCTTGCACTATATCATTTCCGCCGAGATTCACGACGGAAAATTTCAACTGTTTCCCGATCTTCACTACTTGATTGCAATTTTCCACTTTTCTAAATGGGAACTTAATTGGAGGTTTCGATGCATGCTTCCAGTTCACTGATCCAGGAGCAACTTTATCAAGCACTTCTAAAAGTATCCAACTGCATCACAAATCAAGCTTTTTATGTTGATAGTCGAAATATTGAATTGCAAACCTGCAACGCATCCCTCACATATCATCTTAAATCTATGACATAAACAAGCTGAATGTGAAATTCTTGAACATATGCAAGAAGTTCCTGCTTGGACATAAAAACGCATGCATGCTTTAGCCATAACAGAAAGGACAAGCAGGTTGTCAACACACATTTTCGTCATACTAGGATTCAAACTCTTAAAAATAGGATAAAATTTTACTAGGATTCAAACTCCTAAAAATAGGATAGAGTTCTACTAAGATTTAAATTCTTAAAGATAGGATCTACAAGCACTATAAATAGCCATTGTAACTCACCATTGTAACACACGATTTACACACAAAACATAGAGGAAAGCACGAGAAGATACAAAGGCAAAACTATTGTAAAGGATTCGAAAAGGAAATAAAAGGTAGCATTTTCTTTTTTTTTCTTTTGCATGTGCACGTTATTTTTCTTGAGATTTGGTTCGAATAACCCAAAACGTGAGTTGTGCCGATGACCAAAATGGGTGGGGTTTCGAAGTTTCGAACCTAGATCTATCCCAAGGCTTATTTTTAAAAAACCGGTTTGATTTTCGGTTAAAGGAGGGGAAAAACTTTTTAAAAATCTATATTAGTCCCTTTATTTATTATATGGATATTTTATTCATTTATTTTTATTATTCATGTTATTATTATTATATGTATATATATATATATATATTAAATTATTTTCATTTATTTTTTTACTATATTTTATTATATATATATATATATTTCTTTAATATTTTACTTATAAATCTAATATTACTATATATAATTATTACTTTACTATTTTTTTTTCTTATCTTACTTATTTATTTTATTTATTTTATTTTTTCCCTTGTATCTTATTTGTTTTCTTTACCTTGTTTATCTAACACATTTCTCGATTTTTTTAAAGGATATTTTCAAATCAATCAAGGGTAAGTAATTAGGATCGAAACTTTACCTTTTAATTTAACTTGTTATTTTTCTTAATTAAGACAACTGGAAATTACGTAGTACCGAAAGGGCGGTTCAAGGGTGCTAATCCTTCCTTGACCGTAACCGACTCCCGAGCCCGACATATTTCTGGTAAGACGCAGATCAGGTAAGAAATAGGGTATCCGATCAACCCATTTATTTTTAAATAAATGATCGGTGGCGACTCCAATCCACATTTTTCTAAGTCGAAGCCCAATTCCGAGCACAACCGAAAGACGGTTGCGACAGCTTGGCGACTCCGCTGGGGACGGTAAGTGAGTCAGGCTAAGGTAATTTCCAATTGTCTTTTTAACGAAAAGGGTAAGTTTAAATTTTAAGGTAATATTTCAATCCTTTTTACTTGCTTTTGATTATTTTCGAGTAAATAGTTGGACTAATAGTTTTTTCATGATTTCAGCCTTCAAAGTTTTCTTTTTTTCATCTAAAGGCTCTATACCCGAGCTCCAAACCCGTTTTAAGTGGGGGTAAAAGCGACGCCTTCGTGTGAATTTATTCATCGTATGGGCCTAGCAAGTAACCTTCGGGATTCATATACCTTATGCCTTCGTGTGAATTTATTCTCCGTATGGGCATAAGGGAATGTGTCCTCTCGAGTTTAATTTAGTCCACACAAGCCTGTGATGGGTTTAGGACTAAGGGTCTGGTAAGCCCAAGGGGGCACTAACAAGGAGAACTCGGGTACCTTTTTTTTAGAACCTAAACCCGGAGACTACAAGGAGTTAAGGCCCACCCCAAGACCTCATTTCAAACCCTAGGATACTGGAATTATTTCCTGCTTTACTTTCTGTTCAAAGCATGTGAACTAGAAATTTATGCGGTTAGGACTTGTTCAAAACCAACTTACGGGATAGAGATCATGTCCGGGTAGGAATAATAAGCATGAGGGGTAGATATCATGTGAGGTGGGAGTTTTCATTTTTATTATTTTGATTTACCTCACTAACTCTTTTTGTTTTTGTTCTCTTTTATTTTGTTTTCATCACCTGCATCATTTAAAAGAGGTGTTGATCCACCAAAAATGTGTTTGTTACACAAAATAATCTGAATTAATGGACAAAGGTGTTGTAATACAAGAGACTAAGAACCCCGAGGTACGACTATGGTCTGAGAAGACTCAGAAAGAAAAGGGAGACAACCTTCAAGAAAGCTATGTGTCAGAGCTGGTTAGGTACGCATCTATCAGCCTAAAACAGAACAATGTGCAGGAGCTTCGAGATATCTGGGACAGTTGGAAGAATGATCGGAAACAGAAGTTCAGCCAACGGTACGGTGACATTGCACTTTTACTTCACGTTAGGATTGATGAGCCCTTGATTAGAGCCATGGTCCAATTCTGGAACCCGGGATACAGTTGTTTCACTTTTAACGGGGAGGACATGGTACCTACTATCGAAGAATACACAACACTGCTACACTGTGAAAACATCAAACTAGGGCGAGTATACGTTAAGCACACCAAAAGTCAGCCTTTCAAGAGTACACTGGCCAGAGACGCAGCCATCCGAGATTTCCTAGATCAAGTACAGAAGGCAGCCCGTCATCTTCATGGCCTGGCAAGGGAAGCCGGAGTGGTTCGACAATGTATTCAACCAATAACGGATAAATGCAGAAGACTTGTCAATCTATTAGAAGCTATTCGGGGTTTAGAGGATTTAATCCGAGTGTACCTTTGATTGTTTTTATGTCTCTTACAAGATAAGATATTTTTGTCTGAACAAAGATTATTTATAATAATGAACACTTTTTCTGGATCGGTGCCTCTAAGCTGCATACATCATGCATTGCATATTTTGCATTCTATATCTCATGTTTATTTCTATATTTTCCATGTTTTTACATTCATATTAACAAACAGAACATGTCTCAGAAAGCGAAAGAGAAAACACCAAGTCTACCACTACAGACATTAAATACGCAGCATCCGCATAACACTCGCTTGAAAAAGAAAAAAAACAAATGGAGGCCAGAATGGCTCAAATCAAGGAGAACATGGCAAAATTGCAGAAAGAACTTGAAGATAAGATAAACCAGATTAGTCTGAGTACTCTGAATACAATCATGAAGAACCAAGAATATTTGGTTGATCAGATCGTTGCCAAGTTAGTTGGCTTACAACAGACCAGTGCGCTTGGGGCAGGTTTACCGGAAGGGGTAACTATACCACCTACCCCACAAGGGGTTGTCTCACCTGAAATCTTACTCGGATTACAAGAGGACTCATATGCTATCAAGGGGAAAGCTATATCTGGTGCAAATATACAAGCTTTCGCGACCAACACTCATCCGGAAGACTATCATGTCCCGGATTTTGACGAGGAGGATAAGGAAAAGAAGATGGAAAAGAAGATCAAGATGTTAGAAGATCAAATGAAGATGGTCCAAGGGGACCATGATGATTATGGAGTGGATGCAATGGAGCTGAGCCTGGTTCCAGATTTGGTGCTTCCACCAAAGTTTAAAGTTCCTGAGTTTGAGAAGTTCGACGGGAACAGCTGCCCTTCAGCCCATATCACTATGTTCTGTCGGAAGATGACAGGATATGTAGGGAATGACCAACTCCTGATCCACTGCTTCCAGGAGAACATGTTCGGTTCAGCTATCCGGTGGTACAACCAGCTCAGCCGAACTCATATCAAGACATGGAAAGACTTAGCCAAGTCTTTCTTGGAACAATACAAGCATATCAACGATATGAGACCAGACCGAGTTATGCTACAAAGCCTGGAGAAAAAGCACAATGAAAGTTTTTGACAATACGCACAACGTTAGAGGGATTTGCCTGTCCAAGTTCATCCACCCTTGGATGAAAATAAAACTAAAAAGCTGTTTTTAAAGACCCTGAAGGCACCTTATTTCGGGCGCCTGGTGGCAATTACATCGGGAACTTTCTCAGATCTAGTTATGGCTGGTAAGATGATCGAGCCAGCTATAAAATAAGGAAAAATTGAGGGAGATATCAATAATGTCAATACCTACAACGCCAACAAAGGTGTTACGGTCTCAAGTCCAAAAACTGTTGCAGTTGTACCGTCTAGTACTTCTAAACAAACTCAGAGAGGACCAAGGAAAAAAAAGATTTGCATCAGTCCAATCCCAATGACATATGAGGAGTTACTCCCAACGCTAGTTGAGAAAAATCTTGTGACTCTAGTTCAATCCAAACCTAGAGAGGCCCCATATCCTGAAGGTCATGATATTAATGACGTATGCAGCTATCATATTGGGAGCTCAGGGCACACCACTGAGAATTGTGGGGCATTGAAATGTAAGGTCCAAGATCTGATCGATTCAGGGGCATTCACTTTCAATATATAATGGGGCATTCTGATCGAGAGTCATATGGGGCATCCATTAGGAATTTTGTTGCATTATCAAGTATATCATCTTGTTTGAACTTGTTTTTCTTTCGTACTTCTTATGCGTGAACATTTTTAAGTCACTTGACGTTTAAACATTTTAAATAAAATGCTTCATTCTTAGGAGATGAGCAAATTTTAATCTTGAATTCCTTGAATATCACCTCAATTAAAAACTGTTTAATAATTGAGGTTGTAAATCTTTGACAAATGACAAGATTGAACCCTGCAAAACAAAGACCTCTTGGTCCTAATTTAAAAGATACATCAGACTACATATTTTTCTCTTACCGAGCTAAGTTTTCTCTTCTCATGAAGAGTCCATCCAAGGTTTGGTATTCAGACACGTATTAAGAGCGAACAAAATAGGGCAACTAGTACATGAGATTGCAAAACTAATTGGTTTATACCCTTGTTTATGATGTTCAGGGATGATAATGATCTTCACAGATGGAATAGTCGAGTAAGCAAATCTAGTTTAGGTCAGTTGTTTGGAAATTGAACTCTAAAGATGAGATCCCTTGACTTTCAAAAACACCTAGACTATAACAGGTTCTTCTTGACAATCTTAAGAAATTAAATCCGTAAAGCTGAGCTATTC